TCTATCTTCTCTGTCCTTACCATCGCATACCCTCGTGTTGTCACTGGGTTCCTGCGTTTGGTGTCTGTCTGCCGTCTGTCTGAGTGCCAATAGCGCGGCTCGGAGATCTCCCCTAAGTGCGGCCCTAGCACCGAACCGGACGGCGGCAAGATGATCATCCCACCGTACTTCGCTCACAACCTCCGACAAGGTGAAGCGATCATGTTCCCTCGTGTTGACCCAATGGCTCAAGTACAGCGCCTAGTACCGGTCCTGGGCACCGTCTCCTTCTACCCGGATCGACGCTCGCATAGTCGGTCTACCTTCTGGAATGCCGCGCCTCCGTTCCGCGCCACGACTCTTCCGGAAAGGCAAGCATCACCGCAGCCTCGCGCTATCTTCCCCCGCTCACTTCCGCCCTACAGTACCGAAAGGATCCTCAGCAACCCGACCAAGGTCTTCCAGGAGATCGCTGCCCTCGAACGTCGTGACCGCGAGGCTCGCGGAGAGTCACCCGGTATGTGTAAAGGCCCCGTATCGTCGTTCATGGGGCTAAATATACGCCGAGCAGATGTTCATCGGATCGACGCGTTGGACCTCCCGTTCGTTAACGGTGACTGGAATGGCCTGCTGTCATCCCCTTCGCCCGTATCGACTTGGGAAGATGCGCCGCTCGCGCTCTCCCACCAGTACGGACCCTACGCGCTGATGCCCATCCCGTCCATCATCGCCGAGTGGCTCGAGAAGGATGGTATCGCCCCCAAGACTTCCTCGCTTCGTCAGTGCCTGGCCGCCATCGTCCGCCACTTTGTCACATGGCCTACACAAGAAACCTTCCACCGTGTCGCTCGCGATGCTGCCGATCGCGAAGGAGTTCTGGCGTTCACGCTGCGATCCAACAAGCAGTTCGATTATCACTCCGCCATCCACCCCGAGCTCTACCACGAGGACAACTTCCGTGATCTCAAGAACCTCGTATCTAGCATAGTCCTGCGTGTAGCCGTGGCACTCATCTGCTGGCCGCTCCAGCTCACGAACCGCATCGTCTCCGCCATCGCTGAGGCGAACCCGGAATTCGGCGAGGACCTCCTCGACTTCATCGAGCACGTCAACAAGACCTGTCATTCGTATCGCTGGGGCAACGAGAAGGAACGTCTCGCCTCTTCGCCCGACAACTCGGTATTCGCCAACGACGCCAAGTACTACCTGCACCAGCCTCCGCGCTTGACCGACTCGGATGAAACTCGCACCGCTCCGCCCTCACCCGCCTCTACGGCCTCGGACGACGAGTCTATTCCCGAAATCACGATGCCCGACGACGACCGCCACGAAGGCGAAGATGCTCCCGTACCCGCCCAAGACCTGCCCGACAGCATGTCGCTCAAGAGCAACGAATTTGACGAGGATGGCTTCGACGAGGTACGATCGCGCGCTCACACGCCGCCTTCTTTACTCACACCCGTTCAGGATGTCGAGGAAGGCGAGATTCCGCCCAAGTTTGATGTGCCCTTTCTTGAGAAGGCCCCGGACTCGGCCCTTCCGGTACGGGATTGGTTAGATGCTGTGTTCGAACGCGCCACTCATGATATCCAGGATGCGCTATTCATGGATGGGCTTCAACCCATGGCATCCATCGTCGTGTCGAGTGTGCGGATTCCACCAACCGGACAAGACGCGCAGTCGCCGCGCTCGCCTACGCTCGAAGGAGCTAGCGCGGGAGCGCGACTAACCCCTCCGCTCGCGCTGAACTCTCAGCGCTCTTCCTCCTCGTACGTAACACTCGAACTCAATGGGAATCCTGGTAATAATGCCACTCCCAGGTCGCCGTCCAGCACACCGCCGCCCTTGCCCGCCGACCAGTCCTTTCGGACCAAGCCTATACCCGACCAGGACGGTGGATCTCTCCCGCGCGTCGCTGACCCCGCTACAACGAAGGATTCTGGCCGAGACGGGATACCCGGGGATCGCCAGCTCGTCTCAGTTCTACGCGAACATGAACAGCGTGGTGGACCGGATAGCACGCGATTGGCCCAACAATCTCCCCAGCCGACGCCCGAACCTGGTCAGGCTCTCGAACCGCGATCCGGAGGACCTGCCGAACCCTCGCTCCTCAAGCAGCAGCCCGTCGCCGTCTCCGACCTCGAGCAGTGCGAGGATGCATCGCTCGTTCGTACCCCCACCGCCCTACACGCAAACTCCGCCTCCTCACCGATCCACGCCGACAGGGTCGGAGTCGTCAGACACGACCAGCCCGTCCTCACGCCGCCGACGCCCGTTCTTACCGCACCAGCGCGTATTGGCTCGTACGCCCCGTGTGACGATACGAAACACGTTCAACGTGTACCCACGCCCGCTCCCTTCGACGAATCGCAGGCGCGCCGGGTTATTCCCGCTCTTCGGTCAATACTCGACCCTAGCAACCCTATCGGCCGCGGTCTGGGTTTCCATCATTTGCCTGCTGGTGTGCGCGAAGCACTGGTGGCAAATCAGTACCGCCTCACCGGCATCGAGCTCCTCGTCGAGTTCCGCGACATCCTGAACCACTACGACGCCCCCGGCTGGACGGACGACGAAATCTACGCCGCTGGCTTCCTCCGACGCCTTCAGCAGAGCTTGCTCAATTCGCCCACTCCCGCTGACGACGCTCGCGTTCTGCAACGTGAACTCGATGCCCTTACCGGTGGCGACCACGTGGACAACCTCTTCGCCCTCCTCCGCGAACTACGCCAGCGCGTTCAGCACATCGACCACGGTTTCTATTTCGACGACGACGAGGAGCCCGAGGCGAAGACTCCCTTGCCCAAGCCCGACAATGGCGAACCCAAGACCACCGGCCTCATCCTCGAACCACCTCCCAGCTCGACCCAAGCTTCGCGCCATTCCTCGCCATCAAGCATGCCGTCACTGGAGGCGGTCTCGGATACCTCCTCCAGTGAATCAAGCTCGGTCTACACCCCGTCGGAGATGGATATCTCGAGCGACGACGAGCAAGCCCCACGCCCCCCGGTTAACGACACGGCCACTACGAGGACTCACGAACACGCTCTCATTCCGCACCACCGGCCGCAACGACTCATCTACGTGAATACTACCAGTACGATGAACCCCACGGCCGCCGAGTTCGTTCCCCGCATCAAGTCTGCGGACGATGAGTCCACCCCGTCCTCGCCGGTAGCCCGCATCTCGTCGCTACGGTTCGCTGCCACCGAACAGCCGCCCGCCGAAGACAAGATCAGCACGAGCACCACGTTTTCGGTACCACCCGTCCGGGTGATGTCTGTCCGCATCGCGCCGCCTCGAGAGGTCATCGAGATCTCGAGCGACTCGGACGACGGCCATTCGTACGTCGCGCCTCCGCCTCCTTTTCGACTCATCTCTCATCGCTCACAAAGCACAATGTCGCAGATCAGCCACGACTCGCACGAGATCGCCGAGTCCGACGATTCCTCCTCTACTCCGCCCGACCTCGCCAAGGCCTCCATTACCGACGACCATGCCGATGGTTCTCCCCACAGTACCGCCTATCCGGCCAAGGAGCCCCGACTCTCCTATCTCCGTCGCCACCGCCCCGACGATCCTCAGGCACCCGCTCGGCCCGCCTCTCGCCTCGTCAACCTCGCCGAATCCCTGGCGAACGGCGACGAACAGGAACCGACGACGGAGGAGGAATCGAACGGGCGGAAACGCAAAGCACGCTCATATGCTACCATTCGCCGTCCTTCCATACACCCAACCACTCACTCGATTCCAAACAGGGTTCGAGGATGGCAGCCCGCTCGGTGTTCACGAGGAGGAGGACGACTTGTACGCACTCGCTCCACCCGTCGGCTCTCATCTGGCACCGAAGACGCGGGCCGAGGTTCTCGAAGAGCTCCCTCCTCAACTCGGTCAGCTAGTTCTGGTGACTCGAGCAGTCCTTCCGCCCCCGGCACTCCCGTATCCTCCTGGTCGGCGGCACGCCACGCGAGTACGTTTCCTGAACGACACACGTCCCCACCGACCGTCGCCATTAAGGACATCGTCATTCCCTACGACGACAAGCACGCAGCATTCATTCGTCGAGATGGACGCCCAGTCACGCTCACGTTTCCCGCCTTGGCGAGTGTCGACGCAGTCGCCGAGCGGTTTCGACGCCGCATCCAAGACGAGGCCGATCGCGTACGGCTACCCGCCCACTTCGTTGACTGGATCGATCGCCGCACCTCCAATGGGGTCGCATCAAGCATCATACACACGCACGCCGTCTACCTCCGCCAGGTGGCCCTCAACATCGTACAAGCCACCATTCATCTCGTCGCGCCCGAGGTGGGCGAAGAACGCGCCTTCAACATCAATCACGCCATCGATTCTCTCAACCGGGCCTTATTGCACTCCCCCTTCGGGAACAATGCCGACTACGCCCGCCTCCTTAGCCCCGCCGCCCGGAATCCGTTCCTACGAAAATCCGAAGTACGCTTTCTCGAGGCCGCTGCCATCTATTTCGCTCGCACCAGTCGCTTTCGCATCACGTCAGCACTCGTCGCGACCCTCGTCTTCAACACGCCCGGCGCTTGGGCCGTACAATCGCTCCTCGGGAACAACCTCCTCGAAGAAGACTTCTTCGTCGAACACCTCCACCACCACGAGTCGCAAGTCCACCGGCTCGCAAACGTCCTCGAGCTTGCCGTCACGCATTAAGCGGCAGATGGGTCGAGTACGTCGCTTCGTTCCGGAACCCGCACTATCGCCCTCTAACCTAACTCAAGGTGTTCGGTCAAGTTCGGCCGAACGAGGTCGAGGTGATTCTCTAAACGCGCCAAGGTATGCCCGCACGACTCCGAGCACGACTTTCACTCACAGTATGCCCCAGCGGCCGTCCTGTCGTACATCCTCGCTCGCTCCTATGAACACTGCCCCCGTGATCTCGCCGAGATCACCGAACAGTCCTTCTGCATCGTCGTGCTCCCCCAGTCGCCCTTTACCTTTGCACCCCCATGTATCCCCTTGTCTTGTCTGCTCGGGCCTTAAGCCGAGTTGTATGCCCCCATCATCGCCATCATCGTTATGTAACTTATCGACTTGTCCTATGCCACCTCATGCCCCTCTTCCTGCTCCCTCTCATCATTGTCGCGATCAAGGACCTTGTACGGTACCCTCGTCCATATCGGGTAAACTGCAATCCCACACCTTTTTATCGCACATCGTCCGTATTTCGTCCCCGACTCACGATTCGCCCACACTCTCCTCAGACGATGAGGACTATCGGTACGTGCCTGCTCGCACTTCGCCCAAGATTGGCATATCGTGTGAGGATCGTGCCCGTACAATGTCTGACAGCGACTCCGACTCCGAGTCAAATACGCCGAGCGACCGAGACTCAGACTCTGAAGCCGACTTGAATGTCCTGGGTGCATACAAGCCAGTCGATCGTAAAGTACGTCCAGTACCCGGCGTCTTCCCGCAAGAGGCTGCAGTGGTACGTCGTATACCAGAGGATCCTGTATCCACACTCCCGAGTTTGCCAATACACCCGCCTGCTTTCGAGCCCACCGAACGACTCACTCGCGAACGACTTGAGCTCATCAAGCTCAACGAAGATGGGTTCTTATTGCCTGAAGAAGTCAAACTCTTCGAACATATACTCCGCCTATGCGACAAGTCACTTGCCTTCTGCGACGATGAACGTGGTACACTCCGTCAAGACTACTTCTCCGACTACATCATTCCGACGGTCCCACATATCCCTTGGGCACACAAGAATATACCGATACCCCCAGGCATTGAGCCTCAAGTAATTGAGATGCTCCGAGACAAGATACGTGCAGGAGTGTACGAACCATCCCAGTCCAGCTATCGATCACGCTGGTTCTGCGTCGTAAAGAAGAATGGCAAACTTCGCATTGTACATGACTTACAGACACTCAATGGTATCACCATCAAGGACGCAGGCGTGCCACCCGATCTCGACCACTTCGTTGAAAAGTATGCAGGACGAGCATGCAACTCTGTATTCGATCTCTTCTGGGGATTTGACGCACGCCGTTTACATCCGAACAGTCGCGATATGACTGCATTCCAGACCCCGTTAGGAGCACTTCGGCTAACTGCTATGCCCATGGGTTTCACCAACTCGCCTGCAGAGTTTCAGAACTGTATGGTATTCATCCTAGGCCCGGAAATTCCCGAGATCGCAAACATCTTCATTGATGATCTAGCCGTTCGCGGCCCCGAAACTACTTACCCGGACATCAACGGAGAGCCAGAGCGGTTATCGGAGAATCCCGGAATACGTCGCTTCATCTGGGAACACGCACAGGACGTACTACGAGTTATGCATCGAATTCTGTGTGCCGGCGCTACATTCAATCCACTCAAAGCCCAAATTGCTCGTAGGTCAGTTATAATACTTGGCCAGACATGCACCCCCGAAGGCCGGTGTGTCGAGAACCAGAAGGCAGAGAAGATATCCGAATGGTCAGTACCAGCCAACGCCACTGACGTTCGAGGGTTCCTCGGACTTTGTGGAACTGTACGCATCTGGATCAACAACTACTCAAAGATAGCCCGCCCACTGACCGCTCTCACCCGCAAGGATGCCGAATTTGTTTGGAGTGAAGATTGCCAGAAAGCATTCGATGAACTCAAACAGCTTGTGACATCAGCGCCCGCTTTACGCTCCATTGACTACCAATCAGGACACCCAATCATTCTATCAGTCGATTCAAGCAAGACAGCTGTAGGGTTCATTCTGTCACAGCTAGACGAACACGGACGTCGCAGACCAGCCCGCTATGGATCAATCCCTATGGGGGATACTGAAAGCCGATACTCACAGGCGAAGTTGGAGCTCTACGGTCTATTTCGAGCCACCAAGGCATTCTCCATCTATCTCGTTGGCGCACACCCACTCTATATCGAAGTAGACGCAGCATACATCAAGGGCATGCTTGCCGCACCTGACCTACAACCCTCTGCATCAATCAATCGTTGGATCCAAGGGATCTTAAACTTTGATTTTACGCTGGTACACGTGCCCGGACGCGAGTTCTCAGGCCCCGATGGACTTTCACGCCGCACCCCAAATCCATGGGACTTTGTCAAGGAGGACGTAGACGAAGCGGAGAACTTTGTTCTCTATGCCATGCCCGGAGATCCCATGCAACAGTCCCGAAGGAGCCATACCACTCCGTACTCCTCCAACCCAAACCCAGTAATACACGATACACCACAAGTACTTGTAGGCAGAGTAGAAGATGAATTGAATGATATTCTTCAGTACTTGAAGCAGGGTACGCAACCTGCATGGGTCAAGAATGACAAGCTCCGGCAACAGTTCGAATCAAAGGCTATTCAATACTTTGTTCGGGATGATGCGCTCTTCAAGCGCAGGCTCGGAGGCATTCCCCAGAAGGTAATCTTCGATAGCAACACACGAAAGCGCTGTCTTGAAGGTGCACACGAAGGAGCCGGACACCGAGGAATCGAGGCCGTGACCTCCACACTAAAGCTACGCTTCTTCTGGCCTAGCATGGAACGAGACATAGAGAACCATGTGAAGTCTTGTCATGAATGTCAGATTCGACAGACAGCACAATGGAAGCTACCACCTACCATTTCGGCACCAACGCGGATCTGGGAGAAGGTGTACATAGACGTCATGTTCATGCCGAAAGCCCGGAACTACCGCTACATTGTTGCCGCACGCGATGATCTCACTCGTGTCACAGAAGGCCGAGCCCTGCAGACACTATCCGCAGAGAACTTGGCAAAGTTCTTCTGGGAGCAGATTTACACCAGATACGGTGTCATATCTAGAGTTGTGACGGACAATGGAAGCGAAGTACAGAAGGCATTTGCTTGGCTCATGGAGCGACTGGGAGTACCGCACGTCAAGATATCACCATACAACCCACGAGCAAATGGAGTTGTCGAGCGAGGACACTTCATCATGCGCGAAGCCATTGTCAAAGCATGCCAAGGACGGATTGAACGATGGCCCGACCATGTTGCAGCAGCCTTCTACGCAGATCGCATCACAGTCTCTCGTCAAACTGGGTACTCTCCCTACTTTCTACTGCATGGACGCCACCCCACACTTCCCATGGATCTAACCGAGGCAACCTTTCTAGGAAAGCCCTTTGATACGCATATGTCAAGTGTCGATCTTCTTGCACACCGGATCCGGCAAGTCCAGCGATTGCCAATTGACCTTCAGAAGGCCGCAGCCTGTCTGAAGAACCACCGATTACGCTCGAAGGCACAGTTTGAAAGAAGGTTCTGACTGCGACTCATCAACAAGGCGTTATTACCAGGCACATTAGTGCTAGTAGCGAACTCATCCATTTTCCGCTCTCTAAACAAGAAGGCCAAACCAAGATACATAGGGCCATACCGAGTTGTACGCAGAAACCAAGGAGGAGCCTACATACTATGTGAGCTGGATGGGACCCACATTCTATCAAAGTTTGCAGCAGCACGAGTCGTACCCTATATTGCTCGTGACCCAGATGCCATTCGCTCGCTTAGTCTGGACGAATCACCGCAAGACCCACACCTGGAGAAGGACGTCCTGGATGTATCCAGTGGAGAAGATTCAGACTCGGAAACTAGCGAAGACGACACGGAGTAGCAACCGGGGACGGTTGCAGTCTCAGTATGCCCCATATGTCGCGCCAGGTCGCCAGATCTCAAGAAAACAAGTCAATACGCCTGGTCTGCTGCACAGGATGCTCACACGATCACACGGACATTCATAGAACTTTAGCAATTGCTTGCGCTCCGATAGTCTGCTGAGCGCACACGTTAATCTGAGGATCATGGTTACGACGCGCCCATCAGCTTCTCGCACTAATGGGCGCTGAGAAGAGTCGCCACTGCATAATATAGGTCAACCGCTTGTTACCATCCTTTCCCCAGCCACCATGAGTCTCTCCTTGATCGAAGACGACTTTATCCTTGACCACGCATCGGCTCCAGCGTCTCCCTCGCCTGCTGCGTCGCCGTCGCCAGCTGCGTCTCCCTCGCCGTCGCCACCGCAGTCGCCTTCACCGTCTGTCATCTCGTACAATTCCTCGGACTCGGTGCCTAACCCGATTCCGTCGGCTCCAATCAATCTTAGCCCCTTCGTGACTGAGACTATGGGAGTTCGCTCACCTCCTGCGTCAATCAGCCCTACTGAGCCACTCTCTCCGCCCATCTTCCGCTTTCTCCCGCCCAAGCCAGCCCGTGTCGACACACCGGCACTCCCTCAGATCCTTCCGTACCCGCCAGGGCTCGCAACCGTCAAGATCATTTCGGACTATCCGCCTATCCTCCAACGCTTCTTGTCTACCAACTGCAACGACCTTGGTGGTCGCCAGGGTGCCCTCTGGCAGCTCACCAACATCGGCGACACGCGCATCGGCCCCGGTGTTACTGTCACCCATCGTATCCGCCGCGGAGTGGACTGTTATGCTGACGTCGACCACTTCATCGCACGTGGGCCCACGGACGCTCTGTTCCAGATCAAGATCACAGGCTGGCAGACGCCTGCCGGTTACTACGAGGCGCTGAAGCCCATCAACGCCTTCCTCCTTGCTCCTCTCATTCATTGCGAGCTTGAGTACTCCGGCCGCCAGTGGTCTTACCTCAAGTATCCGTTCCGGCTCCTTCAGCACACGATCAACGCGATTCAGCACGTTCACCGCTTCGTTAACGGCGACAACAATATCGTCCTCCTGCGCAACGACCACATCACTGCAGCCATTCTGTCTGGATTTAACCGCACTCCAGCCCTCACGTCGTTCGAGCCAGGATTCAGTATGGGCATCACGGTGGCGGTGCGCGACCTGCACGTTCCAGTTGGTGAAGGCATGGTGCCGCGCCCAGTCAAGGGTTTTCATGCTAAGCCTGGGCTGGTAAGCCATACTGCCACCTCAACCACCATCATATCATTTACCAACATAGAACAGGCTCCATACCACTTCCAGTCCGCGCCCGCGTACCACGCTTAAGAACGCCTACATCCGCCAGTCCATCCCGCGCCTCGTACATTCGCTCTCTCGACGCAGCGCCAAGACCAACCGGAACGAGCTGTGGAAGGTGCCCGCAGATGTGCCGGCAGGAGGAGAAGTTGAGGCTCAGTCTCTTTCACTGCAAAGCCGTTTCTACTTGATTTGATGTTGCCCGTCGCTCGATATCTCCGCTCGATACCTCCGCTATATCCCCTAAACCCAATCGCTACCACTCACCTCGTTCGCTCCATTCGCTAATATTTGCCCATACGCTCGCTGCTCTACGATATACACCCCGCCTTTGCATACCAACCCCCCCCCACTCACTACGCTCGCTCGTTACCCCCAGTGTATACGCGAATATATCTTGTGCCACCAGTTGGACGCACTGTCGCAGCGCCACACAAAGAGCCCGGCAAATACTCGGCGCATTGATCGGACCTAGAGCAAGAATCACGGATCAGCAGACTGATGATCAACGATAAGATCATCTAGGTAGTCGGAACATAGTGGAAGAGTTCGGAAGGTTCCGGGTCAAAGAAGACCACATGCGCTCAGGCATGCAGGAACGGAAAGTTCCGGGATGGTCCGTCTCCTTCTGGGACTTGTAGACCGAAATGGTATATATGTAGTAGAATTAGTATCAGTAGAAGAAGAACCCCTTTTTACGTTTAATAGACGTTTAACAGCCACTTCACAGACCCCCTTTCAATCATCACCCTACAAACTTACCATCTCACATCTTCCCCTTTCTTTTATATTCTATCGCTACGCACAAAGAATCTATACACTTTTCTAGCTCAACGATCCACCCATACGTACTAGACGTCAGCCAGATATTCAACGGAATATCTATACGATCATCGAGTATCGCAACTAACGTATTGATAGACTTGCTCTCCTACGATAGGCCCTGCAAGTTATCTCTGACCTTATTGACCTTACTCGTGATACACGCCTCCACCCGCCGATCTTACGCTAGCCAGTTTATAGCTTCCCCTACGTACACCACCTTACATTTCATTGTTACACCGGCTGTAACCCTAACCCCTTCA